CCCCATACTTATTCAATACATTACTTGAATATCTAGCTAGAGCAACAAGACAACATAAGGAGATCAAGGGGATACAGATTGGAAAGGAAGAGGTCATGCATTCATTATTTGCAGACGATATGATAGTATACAGAAGTGACCCCAAAAATTCTACAGGGAACTCCTACAGCTGATAAACTCCTCAAGTAAAGTGGCAGGATACAAAATCAACTCAACAAAATCAGTAGCCCTCCTATATACAGATGAAAAAGGGGCTGAGAAAGAAATCAGAGAAACATCACCCTTTACAATAGCCACAAATAATACAGAATACCTTGGAGTAACTCTGACTAAGCAAGTGAAAAACATGTATGATAAAAACTTTACGTCTCTGAAGAAAGAAATTGAAGAAGACAACAGAAAGTGGAAAGATCTCCTACCCTCATGGATAGGTAGAATCAACATAGTAAAAATGACAATCTTACCAACAGCAATATACAGATTCAATAAAATACCCATCAAAATCCCAACACAATTCTTCACAGACTTGGAAAGAACAACACTTAACTTTATATGGAATAACAAAAAAAAAAACCTAGGATAGGTAAAAGAATCCTGTATAATAAAGCAAACTCTGGAGGCATCATGATCCCCGACCTCAAACTCCACTATGGATCTTTATTAATAAAACAGCTTGTTAGTGGCAATGGAATTGAATTGAAGACCCTGACATAAATCCACACACCTATGAACATATGATTTTCCACAAAGAAGCCAGATCTGTACCATGGAAAAAAGAAAGCATCTTCCACAAATGGTGCTGTCATAACTGGATGTCAACATGCAGAAGATTGCAAATAGATCATCTGTTACCATGCACAAAACTCAAGTCCAAGTGAATCAAACACCTCAACCTAAGTCCAATTACACTGAACTTGATAGAAGAGAAAGTATGAAGTAATCTGGAACAAATTGGCACAGGAGACCACTTCCTGAATACAACACAAGTAGAACAGACACTGAGTGTGACAATTAATAAATGGAACGTCCTGAAACTGAGAAGCTTTTGTAAAGCAAAGGACATGATCAATAAGACCAAACGACAGCCTACAGTATAGAAAAAGATCTTCACCAACCCCACATCTGACAGAGGGATGATCTCCAAAATATATAAAGAAATCAAAAAGCTAGACATCAAAATACTGAACAATCCCAATTAAAAAATGGGCTACAGAGCTTAACAGAAAATGCTCAACAGAAGAATCTCAAATGGCTGAAAGATATTTAAGGAATTGCTCATCATCCTTACTCATCAGGAAATTGCAAATCAAAACAACTCTGAGATACCATCTTATACATGTCAGAATGGCCAAGATCAAAAACACTGAAGACAGCTTATGTTGGAGAGGATGTGGAGCAGGGGGAACACTCCTTCACTGTTGGTGGGCATACAGCCACTCTGGACTGGGTGCAGTAGGGTGGGAGAGGATGAGGAGTGTGGGATGAGAACATAGGGAAATGGGAGGGTCAAGCTGGAACAGGGACAGAGTGGGATGGCATGGAGGAAGATAGCATGATTGATGAGGATATCATGGGAATAGGAAGAGGCAGGGTGCTGGGGAGGTTCTAAGGAATCCACAAGGTTGGCCCCACCTTTGTCTGATGGCAGTGGTCCAGAGGGTGCCTGGACCAGTCTACTCTGGTGAAGATCGTAGCAAATAACCTAGCTGTCATCATAGAGCCTTTGTCCAGTGACAGATGGAGGCAGATACAGATTTCCACGGCCAGGCACCAGGCTGAGTTCTGGAAATCCAATTTAGGAGAGAGAAGATAGATACTGCTATTGATGTAACCAACCGTCTTATTAAATAAGAATCACAGAAACAATGTAAAAGAGAAAGCCGAGAGGTCAGAGCTCAGAGCTAAAATCTCACCCTTC